CAAAGATGATGCTTCTAACCAATTTATGTCATTGGGACAGCTAATTTTTTTTTAAGACAGGATCTCACTATGTTGCCCAGGCTGGCCTTGCACCCCTGGGCTCAAGTATCCTCCAGTCTCAGCCTCCCAAGTGGCTAGTGGTGCAAGCCACTGAGCCTGGCTTTGACCCACTGGCTAATTTTCATCGAGCCCCTTTTAGGTGCTTTGTACCCAAGGTATCCAACTCTCACAACCATACAAAGTATATAGTATATATACTAACTTACTAATATACTATATACTAATATACTAATTTCACATATGAGGAAATATATTTAGACCATAAAAAAGGCTGACAAGTCCAAAGTCCCACAAAACTTACATATTCATCATCAACAAAGAGTATAGATTTGAAATTTCTGTCAAAATTCACTAACTTAATCTCCTCTTCCATTCTAAAGAGTACACGGAAGCCAGGCACAGTGGTGCGTGCCTGTGGTCCCACTACTACTGGAGAGGCTGAGGCAAGGGGACTGCTTGAGCCCAGAAGTTCTAGTCCAGCCTAAACAACATACCATAGACATGTGTCTCAAAAAAAGAAAAAAAGACTGCATAAAATCAATTCAATATAACTTTTTCCCTTAGCAAGTATCACTAGATAAAAACAAGCAGTATGTCATTAGCAATGGTTGGATTTTTTAAACCACTTCTATTTTGTCCTGCAATCATTTATTTTTCTTTAATTTTTATTTCTTTTTCCTTTTTCCCTCATTTAACACACCTGACATGTAATTATTTTTAATGTGCTTGCTTCCCATGCTTACAAAGTTAAGAAAATAAAAATATTACCTTTTTAGGTTGTTAGCCGACAATAAAATATTTGTGACAAGGCACAATTTTAATATATTCCAACTCTCATATTCTTACAGTATTTCTTCTTTTAAGCCCTAGTCAGGCTTAGACCACTAAAATTCATCACGTATAAACTCACAGAGTTTCAGGCAGCCAGTCAAGGGGAGGCTGATTTGAGGAGCAATTAAGAATACACACTCTGTAATCACATCAACCCAGGTTCAAATCCCAGCTCTGCCACTCACCACTGAAGGATATGGGGCAAGTCACCCAGCCTCAGTCCCCTCACCTGCAAAACGGAGGTACTAATCCCTACCTTCAAATGCCTGCTGTGAGGTAAAACTTAGGTAAAGCTTTTAGCATAGCCACTGGCCTACAACAGGTGCTGAATAATGTACAGCTATTTTGATAATGATGACAGTCCAAAAGGTAGAAATGACCAGAAAGAAGAAATACTTACAAGTCCATGATAAGTACTTTCTTTTGGATTAATTACAAAATGTCCTATTAATTTTTAAAATAAGCTTTGTCCATTAATTATAGACTTACAAGTTCATATACAAGTCTCCAGATTAAGATTTAGTGGCCCCAACCTTTGAATACTGTGAAAGTAAAGTTAAAAAAAAATTAAAACAAAAGGAGAATTAAAGCAAAAAGTGGCAGGAATTAAGGAATTGTAGTTTAAACTAAGATAACTCAGCCAGGTGCGGTGGCTCACGCCTGTAATCTCAGCACTTTGGGAGGCCAAGGCAGGCAGATCACCCGAGGACAAGAGTTCGAGACCAGCCTGGCCAACATGGTGAAACCCCATCTCTACTAAAAATACAAAAAATTAGCTGGGCACAGTGGCAAGCGCCTGTAATCCCAGGTACTGAGGCAGGAGAATCGCTTGAACCTAGGAGGCAGAGGTTGCAGTGAGCCAAGATCACGCCACTGCACTCCAGCCTGGGCAACAGAGCGAGACTCTCATCTCAAAAAAAATTAAAAAATAAAAAATAAACTAAGATAACTCAGTTTTAACAAGAAATAAAACTTCCCTTTCTCATAGGAAACTCTTTGAAACTACGGAACCTGGACCTGAGCTGTCTAGAGTCTTTTCATAGTATTCCTGAATTCATGTTACTATTTGATAATTAGCAATAATAATATTGGTAATAATAAAGACAGGTGCAGTGGCTCACACCTGTAATCCCAGCACGTTGAGAGACCAAGGTGGACCGATCACTTGAGCCCAGGAGCTTGAGACAGCCTAGGCAACATGGCAAAACCTCCACAAAAAATACAAAAAAATTTAGCCAGGCATGGTGGCATGTACCTGTAGTCCCAACTGCTTAGAAGGCTGAGGTGGGAGGATCCCTTGAGCCCAGGAGGTGGAGGCTGCAGTGAGTAAGTGAGTACAGTGAGTGCACCATTGCCTCCAGCCTGAGCAACACAGACCCTGTCTCAAGGAATAATAATAATAATAACAATAGCTGCTAACATTACCAAGTGCTTGGTGAGGAGGGTTCTAGGACCTTCATATGTGTAACTCAGTCAACCTTCACAACAACCGTATGAGGTAGGGACTACTGTTATCTTCCCCATTTTACAGATAAGAAAACCGAGGCATAGCGCTGGGCGCAGTGGCTCATGCCTATAATCCTAGCACTTTCGGAGGTCGAGGTAGAGACCGACTGCCTGAGCTCAGGAGTTCAACACCAGCCTGGGCAACATGATGAAACCCTGTCTCTACTAAAATACAAAAAATTAGCCAGGCGCAGTGGTACACACCAATGAAAGAGCCAGGTGCGGAGGCTCTTACCTGAAATCCTGGTACTTTGGGAGGCTGAGACAGGTGGATACCTGAGCTCAGGAGTTTGAGACCAGCCTGGCCAACATGGTGAAACCCCATCTCTACTAAAAATACAAAACTTAGCTGGGCATGGTAGCGGGCGCCTGTGATCCCAGCTACTCGGGTGGCAGGAGAATCGCTTGAATCCAGGAGGCAGAGGTTGCAGTGAGCCGAGATCACACCACTGCACCCCAGCCTGGGCAACAGAGCAAAACTCCATCTCAAAAAAAAAGAAAGGCGCTCCTAGAGAGAACAGAGACTTTTTTTTTTTTTTGAGACAAAGTTTCATTCTGTCACCCAGGCCAGGCTGGAGTGCAATGGCGTGATTCCAGCTGATGCCCTCCCAGTTTCAAGCAATTCTCCTGCCTCAGCCTCCCAAGCAGCTGGGATTACAGGCATGCTCCACCATGGCCAGCTAATTTTTGCATTTTTAGTAGACATGAGGTTTTACCATGTTGGCCAGGCTTGTCTTAAACTCCTGACCTCAAGCGATCTGCCCTCCTCAGCCTCCCAAAGTGCTGGGATTACAGGCGTGAGCCCGCACCCAACCCAGAAAACTTTCTTTGAAAGAGAAAATTAAACCTGCTTTCACCTTTCTGGATGTGTTGGAGATTTTAGCACTTGGTTGCCGACTTAAGAAAACAGTGAAACTTAAACCACTGCCATCTCATACCAGAGACAGCAATTATAACCATGAGGAGTAAACACAGGTGGTGGACACTAATGGGGTGCATCCAAGTCAGGTCACAGTACAGGACGCAAGCAGCAGGGACCTGCCTGTTTAAACCTTCAGAATTTCGACAGCACCCTCAGCCTGCCTCACTTTCCTCTTCAATAACTGAGATGCTACCAAGAGGAACGTCCCACGACAGAATAATAAAATTGTCTTCAAGAATCATTATAGTTCATCTAAGCAAATCTACAAAGACAGCATGTGACTTCAGACAGTGTGGCTACAGTCACTAGCTCATCAAGGCAGCCTCTGCATTCTCTGCTGCTGATACAGGATAATACAATTCATGGAAAAAGAAATGCAAGACATTCCCCATCCAATACACATTAACTACCTTTTTTTGTCTGGAGGGAAAAATGTACAAAAATCTCACGGACAAAAAAAAAAAAAAATCCTAGCATCTTTGTGTATGGCCTGGAGCTCTGCATTATTTGGTATGATCTATGTGACCTATGCAACATGACGACTTAATCCTGAGCTATTAAAGGCAGGTTCATTCATCAAGGACCAAAACATTCACGTTCATTCAGCATTCATGGGTCTGCTCTGCCCAAGAAGTTTTTTCACTCTTCATTGGTTCTACCAAGCATAAGCAAATCAAACGACTCATTGAGAGAACATCACTAGCCAATAAAATAAGAAACTGCGGCCAGGCACAGTGGCTCACACCTGTAATCCCAGCACTTTGGGAGGCCAAGGTGGGCAGATCACAAGGTCAGGAGATCGAGACCACGGTGAAACCCCGTCTCTACTAAATATACAAAAAATTAGCCAGGCACGGTGGCGGGTACCTGTAGTCCCAGCTACTAGGGAGGCTGAGGCAGGAGAATGGTGTGAACCCAGGAGGCGGAGCTTGCAGTGAGCCAAGATTGCGCCACTGCACTCCAGCCTAGGCAACAGAGCAAGACTCCCTCTCAAAAAAAATAAATAAATAAGAAACTGCTCCCAGGCCCTGAATCAGCGTTAAAATTGACCTCTGGGACTAGCTTCTCCTAATACATAAAATTATAAAAAGACTTAGGCACAGAACCTCCAGTCTGTTATACCAGGAAATTTTACACAATTATTCCAGAAATTAATCATTCTAACCCATTAGTGTATTCAATAAGATTGAAAATATTCAATAAAATCAGAACAAAATGTCTCATACAAGATTTCTGGGCAGGGCACGGTGTCTCATGCCTGTAATCCCAGCACTTTGGGAGGCCGAGGTGGGTGGATCATGAGGTCAAGCAGTCGAGATCAGCTTGGCCAACATAGTGAAACCCTGTCTCTACTAGAAATACAAAAAATTAGCCGGGCATGGTGGTGGGCACCTGTAATCCCAGCTACTCGGGAGACTGAGGGAGGAGAATCACTTGAACCTGAGAGGCAGAGGTTGCAGTGAGCCAAGATCGCGCCACTGCACTCCAGCTCAAGTGACAGTGCGAGACTTTGTCTCAAAAAAAAAATAGAAAATAAAATAAAATAAAATAAAGATTTCTGACTCAACAGATTTTACAGTTTATTTAAATATTAGTCCTAACTCAAAGAAAAAAGTAGCAAATGAGTCTGCTTTATTTAAAGACTGCAAGTGAGCAGAGGCCGGAAAAGGGCAGAGCTCACCTGGCCGGTGTCTGTTGGCTGCTTCAGCAGGAAGTGCGCTGCCCTGGAACCTCCGAGCTCCACTCTTCCCACCGGTTCCACCAGGATAGTGATAGATGACAGAAGCTGAACACAATCCTTCCAGGGCAGCTGGGCATTAAGAAAACAAAAACAAAAACCAGCATCATTAGGCAAGTCAGTGACCCATCATTAGCTCAAACTGCAGGGGCTAAGAATGATTTAAACAGGTGGATTATTTGGAAAAGCCAATTTTTCTCCCAAAACAGAGTTCAAACCTAAAGATCACCAGTTTTTTGTAAACGGGAACTTGCCACCTGTCTTTCCCATGCCCATGTCCGGGCAGGCAACACAGAACACTCTCACCACACTCGAGGCTTCCCTGCAGGGCTGAGTGCACGCGTGAAACAGGCCAGCCTCTGTGTTCATCCATTCACACGGCCGGCAATCCTACACAGACTGTGCGGCAGACTGCGCCAGGTTCTGGAGCTACAGAGATGTATAACGGAAAGTGCTCTGGACTGAAAATATTTCACAGTAATAGCACCAAGGCAAGACCAGAATGCCTTTCCAGACCACGCGCCCCCTAGGCATCTGCTCCTTTTGAGGCTGTAGACCTCCCTCTTCCTCAAAAACAGCCATATCAACTCGCTACGCAGCCCGTTCTTCTCTCACGGCGTGACAACCTAACAATCTCCAGTTATGCCACATGCCTTATAAGGTGTGCCACAGTATTCATCTCTATCAATTTTATCCATTAATTCAGTGGCCCTTAAACTTTTGCTCTAAAAACTCCTTGATGCTCTTAAAAATGAGGATCACAGAGAGCTTTTTTTGTGATATGGGTTACACCTGTAGATATTTACCATGTTGGAAAATAAAACTGAGAAAAGGATTTAAGTATTTATGTATTAATTTCTTTTAAAATAGGCCAGGCATGGTGGGTCATGCCAGTAATCCCAGCACTTTGGGAGGCCAAGGTGGGTGGATCACTTGAGGTCAGGAGTTTAAGACCAGCCTGGCCAACATGGTGAAACCCCAACTCTACTAAAAATACAAAAATTGGCTGGGCATGATAGCACACACCTGTAGCCCCAGCTACTCAGGAGGCTGAGGCAAGAGAATCTCTTGAACCTGGGAAATGGAAGTTGCAGTGAGCTGAGATCACGCCATCACACTCCAGCCTGGGCAACAGAGTGAGACTCTGTCTCAAAAAAATAAAAATAAAAATAAAAAATAAAATAATAAGCTTGTCATGTGTTAACATTTTTATGAAAGATAATCGTGTTCCAAAACAAAAATAAAATACTGGAGGAATGGCATTGTTTGACATGTTCATATATTTCTTTAATGTCAGAGTTAATACAAGTTAGCTGGATCTTCCATCGGCTTCTACATTCAGTCTGCTGCGATGTCAGGCGTAAGTAGCTTCTGGACAACTCCCCTGTCCACTTCTGAGGGGCTGAGCACGGAAGAGACCCATGGCACACAGCGCCGTCCTTCTCCGTGTGCCCTTAAGGAGTCCTCCTGATCCAGTCCAGCGCCGCATGGGGAAGGCATATGGGCGGTACCAGTCTTTCTGGAGAAGCACCTGCTGCACAGGCCCTAGTCTCCGAGCCCACTGGGAGACGCACAGATTCTCCAATCGATACAATAAGGAGTACTTAGGGAGACAGCGCTCTTTCAAGAAAACCCAGTAAAACTATGTCTTTCTCAGCCTGCTTAATCCTTTATCGGCTTCTCTTTTCTTTTCCATCCCTAATGCTCACTCCCCTTCTTTCCCCACTTTTATTTCTCTAGCCTATTTAAAAAACTAAATTTAAGTCCATTTTAAGTTTCGTTTTTGTTTTTTCTTAAGAGACAAAGTCTCACTCTTGCTCAGGATGGAGTGCAGCGGTGCGATCATGGCTCACTGCAGCCTTGACCTCCTGAGCCCAAGCGATCCTCCTGCCTCAGCCTCACAAGTAGCTGGGATTACAGGCACAGACCACCAAGCCCAGCTAATGTTTTTTAATTAGTTTATTTATGTATTCATTTTTGTAGAAGTGAGGACTCCCTATGTTGCTCAGGCTGGTCTCCACCCAGCTAATGTTTTTTAATTTTGTTTTGTAGAAGTGAGGTGAAGTAAGGTTTTTTTATTTTTTATTTTTTGTAGAAGTGTTGGGATTACAGGCATGAGCCACTGTGCCTGGCCATTTGAAGTATTTCTTATATTTGGCTGGGCACAGTGGTTCATGCCTGTAATCCCAGCACTTTGGGAGGCCAAGGCAGGCAGATCACCTGAGGTCAAGAGTTCAAGAGCAGCCCGGCCAACATAGCAAAACCCCATCTCTACTAAAAATACAAAAATTAGCCAGGTGTGGTAGTGCATGCCTGTAGTCCCAGCTACTCAGAAGGCTGATGCAGGAGAATCACTTGAACCCAGGAGAC